GAGGACGACGCCGCGGCGGCGGCTGGCGGCGGCAGGAGCTGCCCGTTTGCGGGGACCGCCGCGAGAGGCTCTCCCTCCGCCTGGACTGAGCCCCGAGCCCCGCTCCCCGTCCGCATCCTGTGGGGCGCCAGGGCTCCGAGGGGCTTCTCGGGGACTCCTGGCGGCCCGGAGAGGAAGCCCAGGAGCCCCCGCTGCCTTCCACGGAGAGCCTTTCCGGGTTGCCCAAAGGGGGTCTGGGGGGGGCGCAGGAATCGCATCCCGCCCTCCGCCCAGCCGCGCTCAGGCAGGCGCTGCGGGGAGGGCGGCCTTTCCATCCTTGCGAGGCGGGGGCGGGTTGTCCGATCCGCCACACCTCAGGCTGCCCGGGAAGCTCCGGCATCATCCTGCCTTGGCCCGGCTGCCCCACCCAGCTCCGGCTCTGGCGCCCGCCGCCCTTCTCCCCCAGCGCCCGAGGGGTGGGAGGGAGCAGCCCCCGCGCCGGCCCGAAACTTGCCCAAGGGGCTCGCGGGAAACTTTCCGCCCTGTCCCGGTTTCTGAGAGGGGCCGGCGAGTTCCCCGCCAGGCTGGCCAGGCTTTTGGGACGCAGCTCGGGATGCTGCTTCGGTTGCGTTGCTGGGAATTTCCTGGAAAGGCGCTGTCGGTGCATGTGGGAGTTTGCCAGAAATTGGGGTGCGGGTCACAGAGGCCCAAGCCTGAAGATGCTGCTGCAAGGCCTCTTGAAGTGGGGAGACTCAGGGGAGGGCCAGCTTTCTCTCTTCGGGGTGGCTTCTCTGGGAAATTCTTCGGGGGGGGGGGGTTGATTTCCTGCCTGATCCAGCCGGTGGGAGCTACCCAGAGAATGAGTTCCATGAATTATGCTGATGTGCCCCCCTAATACTTTCTATGATGTGCTTCCTCACAAGGAGAGCAGCCCTGAGGCAGAGAGGCTAGGTGAGCTGCAGGTTTAGCCCCCACCTCCACTGCCCCCCCCCATCTCCCAGAGTTTGCATGGGGGGGGGTGCTACCCTCCAGCCCTTCCACCTGCCAAGCCCCAGTTGTAGGGAAAGGGGCCTGCTCAGCTCCAGGAAGGGGATGGCTCAGGTCACCCCCCATCTCCTCTCCTGGGAAGCTTCTGCCTCCCACAGGACTCAGCCCCTGAATGCCCCATTTGCCCCCCCCCCCCCAAGGGCCTGGCTGCCTTGGCTATTTTAAGGCGCTGACGAAGTCTGCCCGCTCTGCTTCCTTCCCTCCAGGAGACTCTTTTCCTGGGTGGGGCCGACAGAAAGCTCTGTGACATGTTCAGAGCAGGCTCGGAGAGGGGGGGGGTCTCCCTGGCGGGCTCACTTGTGGTCAGCCTTGGAAGAAATGAGGCTGCCTCAGGGACCGATTAACATCAAGGGGGGCAGGATGAATGAGGGTCTTTTCAGGTGAATTTTGGGGAGTCCCACTTTGGGAACAAAGCCATGGAAGAAGCCAGGTAGCATAGCCCCCACTCCCACCCCCATAATTTCCTGGGAAAGTTTTTCCACAGGAAGGTGAGTACATCCAGAGTTTAGAAAGAGGCTTGGAGGGGCCACCACCCCAAGGAGCCCCTCCTTCTGCAAGGAAAGGCTCTGGAGCATTCTTGGCCCCAACAGGGAGGCTTCTGAAGATCCCCTTCCCCAGGAAAGCTCTGGTGGCTCCAATGAAGGGCCCCTCCCTCCCACAGGAGCATCTCTTGGGGGTGCACAGGCAGAGGAGGGGTTTCTCAGTCATCTTCCCCCCCCCAAAGGTGCTGCTTCCATCGTCTGCAGGGGGAGGAGGCTGGGAAAAGCTGCTGGAGTTCCACTTGACTTGGGATCCAATCCAAGTAGCAGCCGGGGAGGGGGGGGGGGAGAGATAGGAGAATCCTTGGGGAAGGAATGCTGTTTGCACTCTGCTCATTGCATATCCTCAGGCTCAGGACCCCCATGGGCTAACCCAGGCAGGGACCTTCTGGCCACTGGGATTCCATCTCTGGGTCTTGGTTCGAGGAGGTGGCAGCCAGAGGAGCCGGCAGCATCTTTGGGGTCCTTTTTCATTCCTGACGCTGCAGACCCACCAGGTGGGCTCTCTTGCCGGGATCACTTTGGCCAGCAGTTCCACCATGGAAAGGCCGTGCATTGGCAGCCCACGGGAATGGGCCCTTCCCGGTCCCCTGGCACCCCTCGGGCGAAAGGGAGGGGCTCCGGCAGGTCTGCCGGGTCCTTCCAGAGATTTCCCAGAGGGAGCCTAAGTGGCCCCAAAGCCTTCCCTGCTGGACAGCCCTTTCCCGGCTGCAACTCCCCAAAGTCCTGGGAGGGTGGGACGAACTCTGACCAGGAGGCCTGAGTAGGGCAGGGCAGTGCCGGCTGGAGTTGGGGGGGGGGGCACTGTTTCCCTGGAAACCCTCTAGCCCTATGGGGGAGACGGTTGATCTGGGCCGCACTTGCCCTCTCCGCTCTGCCACAGTTATCACGGGGTGGGGTGGGGGTCCAGGGCGAGCCCCAGACCAATGGGGGCTCCCACCCAGGACGACCTGGAGAAGGTTGCATCCTCCCTCGGCTCCTCTTGGGGAAAGCAGCCAGCAACGCTGTGGACTGGCTAAGAGACGGGGAGGGGGGGGGGCACCTATTTTTAGTGTTCTCATAACACCCAAAAATGGCAGGCAGTTTCACACAGATGCAGGCGCTGTGAGCACAGCTGGGGGAGACTGAAGCCCAGCTGTCTTGCCCTGAGCTGGGCTCTGCCCTGGGATGGGCCTCTGGGCTGGAGGGGAGCGAGGGAGAGGGGGGCCCGTGTCTCCTGGTGAGGCAGCCTCTGCGGATGGAGCCCACCACAGCTGCACTTGCACACAAGGCCAAGCTCACCTTGTTACTTTGGGGGGGGGGGGTACTGTCTTATGCAACAAGCCCCCCCCCCCACATTTAATTAGCGGGGTTCAATAGTTGACCAAACTCCAAAAACAGATTCAGACTCAGGAAGCACCTGCTGCACCTGGCTGTTTCGGGTGCCTCAGGGCCTGCCAGCCACAGAGCACACCACACACCCACACCCACACCGAGAGAGGGTCTGCTGGATCCGACTGTTCTGAGGTCCCCCCCCCACACACCTGGCCCCCTTCTTCCCTGGCCCAGCCAGAAAGCCCAAGGGAAGCCATGCGGGCTCCAGGGCCTCTTTGGGTCAGAAGGTGCATAGAGCTCGTGCAGCCCCAGCCCTCACACACACCCAGGCTGTTCTCTGGTGCAGGAGGCCATAAGTTCTCCTGGGTCGGGAGATGGAGCAGGCAGGCCAGGGAAAGGGCCCCTCCTGTTCCCCCCCCCCTGAAGGCTTGGCCTGCGTGGTGGGCTTTTCTGCACTGCTGAGATGGGCAGGATCAGTGAAGTTCCTGGACTCCAGCTCCCCCAAGAGATCTCCCAGACTCCCTGGATCTCTCTGCCCTGGTCCTGATCACCAGGGAGAATCTCTCCCCCCGCCCATTCCTCCCTCTCTCACTCAGGGCAGGCAGAGCTGCTGCTCCCTCTCCCTCCCTCCCTCCCTCTTCGCCCTCCCTCTTTGCCTGGGAAAGAGTCCCACCTGCCCCCCATCAGGGCCCGCAAACCCTCCAGCCGCTAGGGTGTGCCAGGCTGCCGCGGGGGTGGGGGGGTGGGCATCCTGGTGGCAGCTGAGGAAACAAGTCCTTCTTGGCCAAATGTTTGCCCAGCCGTGGTGCAGCTGGTGCGCTCGATGGGGAAGGGGGAGGAGGGCCGGGACACACACAGCTGTTGAGGGCTCCCCCAAGCCATTCCGGGGCAGCTGCTGGCCTGACGTGGGGGGTGGCCTTTTGTTCCCACCAGCTCCAGGCAGCTGTTGCGTGGAAGAGTTTGACTTTGCTAAAAGGCCATCTCTAAACAAGACCTCATCCCCCCCCTCCCCACAGACACACAGCCCCTAACCACGGCTGCGTCTGGGCCCCTTTGTGCGTCTCCCCAGCGTTCCAGGGGCTTCGCTTTGTGGCCATTGTGTGGGGCGCACGCTCTGCACAAAGAGACCGGGCTGTGTCTGCTCTGTGGGGCAGAGTCCATTTAATGGCCTGGACCATCTGTGAGCTGAGGGGCACCTGCTGGGTTTCTGCAGAAACTTTCCTGTCGACTGGAAGTGTTTGCAGGGCCAAAGGAGGCCTCCCCCTCCGCCCTCCGTTGCTTCTGCCCGGCCAAACAGGCTTTCGGCAGAGTCCGGGGCTGAAGGAAGCCGCACAGGGGTGGGGGGGCTTTGCGCCCCTCACTGCAGGTCTTCAGGACAGCGACACTGGCAGGGGGCAGGGACGCAGGAGGGATGGAGATGGGGCTCTGCCTGCCCCCAACATTAGGGTGCCTGTGAAGCAACATGCCGCCTCCGAGGCTGGCGGCTGTTTCCAGGAGACGGGAGAGGAAGGGAGGGGAGGGTTCAGCTCTTGGCATCCTTTGCATGATCAGAGCGTGACTGAGAGCCCCCCCCCCCCTTGGCATGCAACGGCTTCGAAATGGAATGGGAGAAGACCCGCTGCCCCCCCTTCTTCCGCTCAGCAGGTGAACTCTGCTCCCTCCGTGCTGTGCCTCAGGAAGTCAGAGCCCCAGGCTAGGCTGCCCGTCCCTGGCAGGGGTGGTGCATCCCTTGGGGAGCCGATGCCCTGGGGCTCCTTTTTCTGGGAAGAGCTCCTCCTATTAGGGCTGGAAGGCATCCGGTGGGAGGCCCGGGGGGGGGAGGGGGCTGCCCCAAGGACTTCAGCCACCAGCTCAGGGTGAACTTTGGGGCATCTCCTCCCCCTCCCCCCCTCGGCCAATGAATATGCCGCCCCCATTTCGGAGGTCCTGGTGAGGAGCGGCCAGCTCGGGGGTTTCCTGGGCTGTCTGGGGTGATGCTGGCCAGAGGCCGACGCTTCTGGGCGCCAGAAGGAGAGTCTCGCTGAAGCCTGGACCACCCGCCAGGGCTGTGTGCGGCTCCTTCCCTGGAGGGCAGCCGGGCTCACCTGCCCTCTCTCACCTCAGGCCCAGCAGGGGTGAGCAATGAACAAACTGCGGCAGAGTCTCCGGCGCAAGAAACCGTCCTACGTGCCCGAGGCCAGCCGCCCCCACCAGTGGCAAGCCGATGAAGAGGCGGTGCGCAAGGGCCGCTGCAGCTTCCCGGTGCGGGTGAGTGGCCGCCCCTTTCCTCCGAGGGGGGCCCCAGCGCCTTTCCGCAGCCCTACTAAGGCCCCGGCCAAAGGGGCAGCGTTTCCGGCCCTTGTGGGGAGGGGGAGGGGGGAGCCCCTCGCGTTTGCCTCGCAGCCAAAGGGTCCTGGTGATTGGGGCTGCGCTGGGGCCCCTCAATTTGTGCCTCGCCCACCAGTGCAGGCGGTCAGATTCTGGGCGTCCCGGGCAACCACACAAGGTGGCTCCCGCTGCCCTTTCGCTTCCGCGGCACAAAGATCAGGTCAGGCCTGCTGACTGCTCCCCCTTCCCTCCCCGCAGTACCTGGGCTACGTGGAAGTGGAGGAGTCCCGGGGGATGCAGGTGTGCGAAGAGGCGGTGAAGAAGCTGAAAGCGGTGAGGGCCCAGCTGGCGAGGGGGCTGATGCCCAAGGATGGCTCTGGCCGGACCGGAGGCCGCACAGACGTCCCGGGCTCTGAGCAGTGGGAGTCCAGGGGACGGAAGTCCAGTTTGCAGCTTTGACCTTTCTGTAATTCGGCCTTTGCTGGTGGGGAGGCCAGATGGCCGCAGGGCCTTATTGGCCACCCAGAATAATCATAGTTGATGCTGGACTTCCTGGCCTCTTTGCTCTTTGGGTGACTCATCAGCAACTTTGCACAAAATCTGGCCGGGATTCGTCTTCGCCCCGTCCGTCCCTGAAGCCAGAGAGTCGCGCAGGGACCCGAGTTCCCACAACATGCTTGTTAAGGCTGACTTTGGGCCATGTCAGCAGGTTGCGCAAGAGGAGTGGTGGATAGGGGCCTTGTGCCATCGCAGTCTGTTACAAAACAACGCTGCTCCTTCTAAAACTTTTCAAAATAATTATTGATGAGTTGTGGGGATTATCTTCGAATCCCAAAGGGAGCAGGCAGACTTTATGCTTCTTCCTCTGCTGCCATTTGCCATCTGTATGGGCTGCAGCAGGGGAGCCCAGGGGCTGATCAGGGAAGGGGATGGGATGTGCGCAGGCTTTGATAGAAAGCCGTTCTTTTGCAGGGGTGGGCAGGCTGCCTGTGAGTGTGGGGGGGGGCTGCACATCTCGGCTGCTGAATCTCCCAGAAGGCAAAGAGCGTTTTTCCCCCGAGGGGGGGGGCAGGGGGAGGGACGGAGAGGTTTCCACTGCAAACTGCAGCGTTTATAAATAATGTGCCAACAAAAATAGAGAGGGCTGACTAAGGAGCCTTTTAGGCTTTTGAATAATTTAGCTAATTAATCCGAGGCCCTGGTTGCGAGGGGCCTTTGGATTGCCTGCTCTTTCTTCCACCCTCGCAAGACACACACACACCCTGCCTGGACTTTGGGAGTGGGGGGGGGGGCAGGTTTGCAGGCACAAGGCTTGGTGAGATTCCCTGGTGGGACCCCACCCATCCAGAAACTGAACATTTGGGCATTTGGCACAAAACCCAGTGCCCCCACCCCCCACCCTGCTGCCAAGGAGAGCCAAATGCCCTGCAGGCTCCTCTCCTGCTCTCCCCCCCCCCCTTCAGTGGGCCTGTTTTGCCCAGAGGGGTTTGGAGAAGGAGAGGGCCTGGGGGCAAGAGGGCTTGGGAGGTGGGCCCTGCTGATGCGGTCCTTCTCCGTGGCCTCCACAGAGTGGCCGCAAATCTGTGAAGTCCGTGCTGTGGGTTTCAGCCGATGGGCTGCGCGTGGTGGACGACAAGACCAAGGTAGGCCTCTGGCAGTGGGGAAGGCCAGTGTGCCAGTCCAAGGGTGTCCCACCTTCACTGCCCAGAAATTCCTGGCCTTGACCACAGCTGGGCTCTGATTAAGGGGGGGGGTCATGGCAGGAGGCCCCCCATGAGCCAAAGCCAAGCGGCTGCTGGGGGCAAGGTGCCGGTTGGGGTTTGTCCTTCCTGATCTGGGCGCAAGCTCCAGTGATGAGAGAGTCCGGAACGCATGCAGAGCCCACAAGGCAGGGAGGGGGCACATGTTCCATTCACAGTGTGGTGGGGCTGTGGCTGCCCCTCCCCCCACCCAGGACCTGATCGTGGACCAGACCATTGAGAAGGTTTCCTTCTGTGCTCCGGATCGCAATTTCGACAAGGCCTTTTCCTACATTTGCCGGGATGGCACTACCCGGCGCTGGATCTGCCACGGCTTCCTGGCCCTGAAGGACTCGGTGAGTGCTGGGGGGTTTCCTCCCGGCAACAAGGGAGGGAGGCTCTGCTCCTTCTCCCGGCCCTCTGCCCCAGAGGGAGGGCGGTCCTGGGGAGGAGCTGCTCCTCGCCTGCTGGGCGGCTGGGGTGCCCCGCGAACTCCTCCTGGGTCTGGGAAGGTCTGGCGGCCGGCAGGGCTCTTTCGAAAGGCTGGGCGGTCAGTCAACAAGGGAAACCGAGGCAGACTGTCCCGTGCTGGGTCCCCTTTCCTGTCCCCCTCTGCCTCTTCGGTTGTCCTTCCAGGCCCAGGGAGGGAATGGTGCACCCCGCCTGCCAGACCCTTCCCCACCCCCCAGCAGAGCCCCCCCCGCTCACTCGCCTTGCCCCTCTGAGCCAGGGGGAGCGCCTGAGCCACGCCGTGGGCTGCGCCTTTGCCGCCTGCCTGGAGCGCAAGCAGAAGCGGGAGAAGGAGTGTGGGGTGACGGCCTCCTTCGATGCCAGCCGCACCAGCTTTGCCCGGGAGGGCTCCTTCCGACTGCCCGGGCCCCCGGCCCCCACCTCCCGCCCCTCTGGAGCACGGTCCCCCCAGGATAAGAAGAAAGGTAGGAGCCACTGGCTGGCTGGAGGGGGCACACCAATCCACCGCTGGGGCTCTGTGGGGGCGGCACCAGCGAGACCCCCGGTTTCTTCCCTCTTTTGCAGTGGAGGCAGCTGTGGCCCCTTCGGCCCCCATCGCAGCCCCTGCCCAACCCGGCAGCGCCTCTCCTCCCCAGGGGTCCACTTCCCCCGAGGAGAAGGTGGAGGCCGGGGGGGCTCATGCCATCCCGCGCCGCCATGCCCCCCTGGAGCAGCTGGTGCGGCAAGGCTCCTTCCGAGGGTTCCCCACGCTGAGCCAGAACTCCCCCTTCAAGAGGCAGCTCTCCCTGCGCCTCAACGAGCTGCCCTCCACTCTGCAGCGCAAGGGCCACGCCGAGAGCAGCGCAGGTGAGACAGGCGGGGGCTCCCAGGTGCCGTTGCCAGGGGCTGGCACTCGGTGCCAGGTGAGGAGGGAGGGCAGGAGCTACTGGCCGGAGGGAGAAGGGGGCAGAGGGGGGAGGGAAACGGGCCCCAAGGAACCAGCTGCATGTTCTCTTCTGGCAGTTTCAGAGGGAGAGGCAGGCGCCAGCAGGGATTCGGACAGTATCTCAGCTCTCTGCACTCAGATTGACACTTCGCTCGCCCAGCCAGCTGGAGAGCCCCCCGCAGCCCTCGTGCCCGCAGAAGGGGGTAGCACAGGTACAGCCGGAGGGCCCACTCCCCCTGTGCTGGGGGTGGGGGGGTGGGGGGGGGCCTTGGAGGCCTGCTTGGGAGGGCCGCTGTTTGACCTTCGTATCGCCCTCTCCTCAGGACCCGCTTGCTCATGGGACGACCCCCAGGCCAGCCCCCTGTTCCAGCCGGGGCACAAGAGGACCCCCTCGGAGGCAGAGCGCTGGCTGGAAGAGGTCGCCAAGGCTGCCAAGGCTCAGCAGCACCAGCAGGTTCCCCAGGCCGCCCCCCCACCTCTGCCCGCCTTTCCTCTGAGCTATGAGGCAGCCCCCCTCCCCACAGGCATCTTTGCATCTCCCCACATGCCCCCCACCTTTGTGCCTGTGGGCACTGCCTACGTGCCTGCACTGCCCTTCCCTGCCCTCCCCAGCGTGCCCGTGGTGGGCATCACACCCTCCCAAATGGTGACCAATGCCTTCTGCTCCGCCACACAGGCTCCCCTTACAAATTTGGGGGTCAAGGCCAGCCCCTTCCCGCAGGCCCTCCTGGACCCCCCTCGGCTCAGAGCCAACGGGACTGTCTGGCCCTCTGAGCAAAGCCCCCCAGGCATTCCTGCCCCCCACCTCGAGCCCCCAGACCCCTTTGAAGCCCAGTGGGCTGCCCTCGAATCCAAGGCCTCCACTGCTGCCTCCAACCCCTTCTCTGGTGACCGGCAGAAAACCTTTGAAATAGAATTGTGATCCCGATTGTTAAGGTTCCCCTTTAGCACCCCATCGTGCGAGGCCGGCTTCTCTAAATCCCGGGATGGGGAGCGGCACTTCGGAAAGCGGCCAGTGGGAGCAGGAGAGCTGCCCCCAAGCGACGCGGGGAGCCAGTTCCTCTCCCGTCCAGGCCGAGGACGGGCGGCCAGTAGGAAACCAGGGTAAGCAAGAGGCCCCCCAGGCCTGCCACAGCCTCCGGAGAGCAGAGGGCGGATGGGAGGGGGTCTCTGCTCTCCCCCCCCCCCCGTTGTGCAGCAGCAGCAGCACCAGAACAGCTTCCATCTCCCTTTGGGGTGCTCCACTCTGTGCCTGGCAGGCCCCCTCCTCCCCGGGCAGCTCTCCCCTCCCCAAAACCTTTGTAGAGCTGCTGGGGAGGCTCCGGGTGCCTCCACTCCCCCCCCTCCAAGGCTGCCTGTGGTTGGGCCTGAAGCTGCGAAGGTGGCTCCTTTCTCTCCAGAGGCGGAGGGACCCTTCCTCAGGCTGCACATGGGGGACCTCAAACAGGGTTAGGGTACTACATCCTCCCCCCCCCCACCCAAGAACAAGAGATTGGATTGATGGGAGATCCATGATCCCTTTTTGTCGGGGGTGGGGGGGAGGGGAGGAACTGGCTTTCCTTTCCAAAACTTAATGGTGGGGGGGGGGGTGAGCTTGTTGGAATGGTTATTGCAAAAGAGGTGCCCCCTCCTCTCAATTTTGGCTGGGTTGGAGAAAAATTCTTCAGGTTAATCTTGTTACATATTCCCAATTTTGGGTCTGGCAGGGTACTAGTCCTCAAATCACAGAGGGGGGGGGGACACAGACACACTCCCATACATTTCAGGATGCCTGGCCTTGTGAGGCTCCTCTCACTTCAGTCTCAGTCATCCAAGCATGGGGAGTGGGAGGTGGGGAAGAATCCCTCCCAGATGCAAAGGCTTAGGAAGACTTTCTCCCTCAGGGGGACCTCAGGCTCTCAGGAACAATAAGGCTGAGCGGGGTCATCTGGAAGGGGCAGCCAAGGGAGGACTAGGGTGGGTGGGGGTGTTCCTTCTCCAGTGGGACAGCCAGCTTCAGGCAGGCTCTTGAAAGCAGCTGCCTCCCCCCACTGCAGCTGCCTCCCACATGGCTCCTTGACCTCCTCAGTGTCCCCCCCTCCTCCAAAAGCAGAACTGCCCTTGCTTCCCCCCCCCCTCACCTTGGGCGAGCAGAGAAGATGGAAGCCGAGGAACGCCTCTCCTGACCAGACTGCCTGGAGGTTTCCAAAAATGGCAGAGGGTATTATTTTTTATCTTATTTTGAAACTTTTTGTATTAAAGAATCCCACCTATTTGTATTATATAATAAACAACAGAGCCAGTAATATAACACCCCATTGCAATGCTTGTATCTCTTATGGGGGGGGGAGGGGGGTGTTGAAGGGGGCAGAAGTGGGAAGCCCTGAGCCTCTCAGCATAAGAAATGGAAATGTGGGCAGGGGGCTTCTTGGCTTGGGCCCATTTGCAGCCTCTGCAGTCCTGTTGGATACTTTGGGGGCTGAACCAAGGAGGGTATGGGGATTTGGTGACTACAGGACCAAGTTTCTGGGTTGGTATGCCAGGACATCGTCTGC